AAACCTTGCCACGCAAAACCAACACAGTAGCATTGGGATAAATGGTGAAATTTACATTTTGGGTTTTTTGGTTTTTTTTTTCTGTTTTGTGGTGGGTTTTTTTGTTTGTTTGGGGGTTTGGGGTTTTGGGGGTTTTTTTGTTTACGTACAGAATCAAAGGTAGCAGAATTGCCAATACCTTAGCGTCTCTGATTTTCTATAGAACCGTTGAACTTCAAAACATTCTACTTCTCTAGATCAAAAATAATGTTCTATAGAAATTAATGAGATCTACAGACCTTAGTATTTAATATCGTAATCTTTTAAACAGTATTGTATTTATGTTAATTCCTGATTTTAAATTTTATGTTTTGTAGCAGACATGAGCCAGAACTGTTGTCATTAAAGAGAGCAAATATTCAACAACTCATCTGAACACTGTATGCAGTAAATGGATTCCCAAGTTTTCTTCAGTAAAATACATTTATAAATTTACCTGCATAGTAGCAATTGCAATTTCTAAACTCCACCCATGGCCTTTATCTCATTTCTCTACTGATGTCAGTAGCAACAACTATGTATTTTTCCACTACTCTCAAAGGCTACTTACTTTGATTCTGTGTAACAGCACCACATACTTTCAGGGGATTAAGTCATACAGTGCTGATGTACACCAAGATAGGGGATAAAATTACAAAAAAGAAAAGACAGACAGAATCTATGATCATATTTAGGGAAAGGGAAATGCAGTAAAATATTTTATGGCTATGAACCCATGTGTATATGTTATCTATTCTATTTTGTACTTTCACAGTATCACATTGACACACAAGAAAAATGGCAATAAAGGCAGTGTAAATACACAGAAGAAATTCAGACAGGTATAACACTATGATTCACTTTTTAGCAAGTATGAGATGATCAATTTCAACATCAATGGATTGAAACACCAGAAAGTGTCTTTCTCATGCCATGAGTCACATTCTTTTTTCTATTCTTCTTCATCTAGTCACCTCAAAGTACCAGGATACTGTAAGGGAAAATATCCTTTTATAACAGACCTTTGGAGAAATCATATGTTCTAAATACCTTGCTGTTTACGTGGATCATAAATCTGGAGCCCAAACAATGGTGGTCTCTCACTCCTTAGCAGTGTCACATTCCTTGTAATCAGATCCAACTGGAAAATTGATCCATTCATATAATCTGTCCAGTAAATATAATTTCCATGATGTGACAGTCCAAAAGGATGATTTAAATCTTTTCCATTGTAGACTACCTGCAATTAATTAGTGGTAAGTGAATATTAGCAATGTTAAAACAATTATTAATTTTTCTTAATATACACTGCAAAAAACATAAAATGGGAAATAGGAAAACTGAGATAAACACTGTGCCCAAACATAACAACTTAATGCAATAAAAATCAAATAAAGAGTATAAAGCCATTCTATGCACCAGCATCAATATCTAACTTCAAAACTTCCTAGAAATTCATCTTAAGTGTCCCCTGTCATATAAGGCAGAGGAATGTAGTTAACCATGCAACCATTATATTCAGTAAATATCTACATTTTTCCTTAACAAGGAAGCATGGCTATTTACATAACTTTGAGTATCTGTCAAGTATATCAAATATCTGCTTCTTTTAAAGTAAAAAATAGTGTGTATGAGTTGGGTATTTTTGTTGAAATGTGAAGTAAGTGCAGACATTGCTTATTTATTTCTGTGAACTTCCTCTCTAGTTTGTGATAACTTAAAAAAACCCAACAAAACCAAACCAAAAACCATGCCACAGTTTGTTCCTAAAATAAGACAAACTTTCTTTCAGGCACTTTCTACTTCTGGTTTATTAACTCGTACATAAAACTACAAATTACACTCCAAATCTTGTCTTTATTTTATCGGTGGCAGAAATGTTCTAAAACTGTGTCATTTGCTATCACTCCAGTCTCAGGCCTCCTTTCACGAGAATTGCAACTTCCTCTCACAAGAACTTTCAGATAAAGAGGAACAGTTTAAAAATATTTTCAGTCCCTACAGAAGGAAAACAAAACTTTTAAAAGAGTCTAAACTTACCATCAAGTAAATTACAGTAATTAGAATTATTTACTTTAAAAAGACACAGAAAACTGCAGAACTCTAAATCATCTACTTTTGGGAGCCCTGCCTTTATACTTCATCACAGCAGCTGCAGTTTGGAATGACTAAGTTCCCATCTTCTTCTGCTGGCTGGGGTCCTTGCTTGAACTAATGCCCAACAGTGAATTTCTATCTTGCCTCTAGAGAGAAGGAAGCAGTTCATCAGACGCCCTCCCTTGTCTCTATTTAGAGACACAAGCCACTAAAATATAACCACTATGAGGTGACAAACATCATCCCCTTTTGCCCTTCAAATTTTCTCTTTGGGCTTGGAATTCTTTTGTTCAGAACTCCTCATCTCAGTTAACTGCTTTTGATCAAAATTAATCCATCAGTCAATCATCCACCATCTACTGCTGGAATTTTTGTAGGACTTCCCCACTCCCCAAAATCTTCACTATACTGACACTTACAGAATTAAAGATGCTATTGACCCAGTTATACTTTGACCAAAATGTCCTATAATAAAGAAGAAATTATTCAGCATCAAAAGTAAGTATCTACTAGTTATTTTTGGCCACATCAATTTCATTCAAATGGCTACGCATTTTACTGAAATCACAGGATTAGAGAAAAACACTTTTTTAAAAAACAGAACCATTCCATGACACACCTCAAAATAAAACCTGTAAAGACAGGTGATTCTTATTATTCATCAGTTCTGGTGGGAGGCAAACCCAGCAGTTCTCACTAGTAATCCATGTGTAACCCATGGCAGCTGCAGTTAACCTTCCCAGATCTGTTAGTCCAAGAACTTTTCAGGAAGTCTAGCATTGCTAGTAGACAAGGATCTCTAATTAAAAAATGTCTTTTCTGCCAATGTGTTTGCCCTCCTCTCCCCCTCCATTACACGACCATAACGGATTTGGAGCAAAAGTAGAAGCGCTAAATGTAAATCCTGACCTAGCCATTATGACAAACTGCAACACTACAGCATTAGTACAGGCTTAACAACAGATCACTCAATATAAAGGATTTTAAAAGGAATATTAAAGCCATACCAGCTTGTACAGGGATGAGTTCCAGGGAGGACTGTGTCTACAGTTACTACTTTCAGTACAAGAGATCTGTGTATTGGCCCATCAAGGCCATCATACAAAGGGAATCATGAGTGAAGGATAAGTGAGATGTCACAGGACACACATATTTTGTGACAAAATCCTCCCACAAAAGGACTTAACGCCCACCATTCTCAATTAAGAATACAGTTTCAGTTGTCAGAGTACTAATTTTATGAAGCAGATGCTAAACCTTCCCCAAATAATCAGAGTCCAGTGTAAGCTTTAACTGTTTCCAGATGTTTGTTCTTTGCTTGTTACTTCGATGAAACAAGACAGCACTTCTATCCAGCTAGTATAGCTGTATCCAGCTAGTATAGTGACAACTAAAACAACCTCTCTCCATCTTTGACTGCACTTGTGGTAATATGCAGAGGGGAAGCACTCAACAAATGCTCAAACGGGACACCGAGATTCATTGAAGCAGCTTATCCAGTAAAGTTAAATGAAAGCCTCTCTCTGGCAGAGCCAAAAGAAGTTTTTTCTCCCTACTGAAAAGCTCTTTGTAGCTGTGTGGCTCAATCACAATGTAACTCACATGAGAAAAATAGATTAAAAACAAAAAATCAACTTTTGTGTCACTTTCTAAAGTGAAAAATTTCAAGCTGCATTATAGTGTCCTACAGGAGACTGCCAACGTTGCTTGTTTCAACAGAGATGACACCAGACTAGCCATGGGGTCATGCCGACTTTAAAAAACTTGAAAAGTATTTTTTAACATAACACAATAAAATCCAGAGAAAGACCATGCCTGTGGCAAAACAGCAGTATTTTTCTTTTACCTTTCTCTCAGTACCATTCAAAAATATCCTTTCAATGTGATCATAATAGGCGTCACACCAGTATAATACATTGGCATGATAGTCCAGAGTTAAACCATTTGGCCATAGCATCTTTGATGTTACAAAAATCTGCCGACTGTAGCCATCCATCCATGCCTTCTCAATTCTTCCCACACTGTCATCTATTTCATCTTCTTCCCAGTCTGTCCAATACATCCAGCTACGAAATTATAAAAATGAACATTCAGATACCATTTTAATCATGTTAATTATACTGTAGACTTTTAGCAGAAGTTTGCCACAGCATATCCACAAGCCAGAGCGACTTTAACTTTTGCATGTTTCATTCCACTGCTATTTCTACAACTGTATTTACTTTCCCTGTGTACTGGTTGCTGCTGAAATGAAACTTTTGGCATTTTGCTCATATTGTAATGAATTCCTTGAATGCCAAATGGGCTAACAGACATGAGAAGTGAAAGAATTAAGATCTTATTTAATCACAGCACAATTACGATTTTTTTTTTTTTTTTAAACCAGCAATTTTATTGACTTTGTCACAAAGTTCAAACTTTTACTGGTTTTTTTTTGGCCAAGTCTAATTTGCCTTTATGGTGCAAATCTGCTTTTTATTATGCTTAATACTATCAAAAATATATGACTTAATTGCAACCTAATTTAATAGCTACAGGATAACCTTGACATTCTGTGAACTTCACATCCCACATGAAAGCAGCTAAATTACTCAAAAAACTTTATGAGCACTCTGTCTCTCACAAAAATGTTTAGAAAGATAAATGGCTATAAAAAGTATTTTTTAAATAGCTGGTAGGCAATTTTCACATAGTTTTATGGTTTACAGTGCAGCAATGTAGACAGCCAAAACAATTCTGAAAAAGAAGTAGCTATGCTAGTTTGGAAAAATTAAGCAAGCATTGTAGTAAGTAAGGTCAGATGAGTTCTTTGAGCCATTCTCCAAAGGACACTACAGAACACACTCTACATACTTTTTTTCCCTTTTTTTTTTTTTCCTTACTGAATTAATCTGATTATCATATTTTACTACAGAATTTGCTGGTGACAACTCTGATTTCAAGAATTTCAAATAAACAACTTGAACTTATACAAAAGCAGAGAGTAGCAAATATGCTAAGAAACACCTCTTTTCTCTTACATTTTTTCCCCAAAGGAAAAATAGGTTCATGGGAAGAAACACATTGAAGCCTATATGTAGTCTATGAAGCGTCTAACAGCATTTCAGATCATATAATGCACGGTGACATCAATATGCTGAAAACATTTGCTAGATAGTAGATGTTTACTTTTAAAGTCAAATCTAGGATTTCAATTATTAAGCATTAAATAGAGGAAAAAACATTCAGATCTTAAATGAATCCTACTTGTTAAAGTCGTCATGATTTAATTGGTATTTATGTGCCTTGCCTTTGATTTCACCAGATTTATGTTTCTGAAATTCTGCAGATTTCTGAAATAACTTGCGTGATCCTAACCCACTTAACCTGTCTGTACTTTGAAGAATAAAGTCCTGGAATTTAAATTCTGAATTTACAGAATAATGAAATGGTGAATTGAAAACCAGTTTTGTTTTCAGATCTTTGTAAATGATGCCAATACCCCTGGTCAAAGATTTTATTCAAATACACTTTTATGTAGAAGTATAATTTGATGAATTGTTTTTTTATATAAAGAATTGGAGAAGATGAAGAAAAAATTGCACCATCATCACACAGATTTACAGATATGCAAATGAACCTTTTTTCATTTCTTTTCGGTCTCTTCCAAGTCAGCCACGAGAAGGTTGTTTTGCCTTCTTTTAATGTTTTTGTAAACAATTGCTAAGAACATCAACCAAGTTTTGCTCCAAGAGACTTACAAACTTCATTGCATGTTTGACTCAAAACCCACTAGGTTTAATCACGGAATTATAAAATGTGCATACACCCAGAATCTCAGGCAGAAATCCAGGTCAATATGGTACTTATTTTATTGGAAGACAAAAAACGTTTTACAAGTATTTACATGACCGCTCAACAGCAATTAGTGAGCTTTTCTCCATTAACTTTTTGTCTGTACTTATTCTAGTTATCATGTCATAAGCTAAAACATGCTTACAGTAACAGACATTTACATTAATGTGCTTTAATTGTATCTCAAAATGCAGTTAATGCTTCTACATTGGTTAAGTCAAGACTAATATTTTCTAAACATAATTAAAATGCCATAATAAATGCTATCCCTCAGGAAAAGCTTCCATGAGAAGTATAATCACGAAGGGCATGCTATTTTATTAGAAAAGTGTTTTGTATAATAGCCCTTTTCAGACAATACATCTTCATACACTATTTCCTGTGCCATGCATTTACTGAGCTGGAAAATTTAACAAAGTAATTGTAGGTATGGTTATGGTTTGTGGTCTGATTTTACATCCTTACTGTCTGACCTTAATTAATTGTAGCCTTTCCACAGTCACTTCCATTCCTCAAAGGACAAGCTCAAAAGTGAAAACCTGATAGTGTAAATACATTCTAGGGCTAGGAAAACAGCAATCAATCCAGCCATACTAGAATTACCTGCCTACATCATTCTCCAGTGACAATTCCCTCGAGAAATGTAACAGTGAATTTTTAGGTAAACCACAACTATGCCACACTAATAGAATGTTCTTTTTATTATGCAGCCTATCACAATTAATTATGCTACCAAGTAATGAAAAGTATCTGTCTCGTTTAGTTTTGTAAACCAATGTGTACAAGGATATGGTTATAATTATCTTCAGAAATTAAGACTTAAAAAGAGAGAAATAAAGGAGAGTATTATAAAATTCACTGGTATTAAAAATACATACAGGTCTGATACACTCAATTTGTTTGAGAAAAAGGTGAATCACATTCAAATTAACTTGGCATAGGTTCAGCAGTGTCTGGGCATACAGGTTCTCCTGAAGGCTTCAGGCAAGAATGCTGCACAGGAATTACAGATATTATAGACTACTGTAGAATTACGGACCCCTACATGATTCTGCAAACCCCATCCTAAGCAAAATTCAATTCTGTATTTATAGTATAAAGACATGCATTAAACAACATAAATTGGTCTACTACATACCCATTGACAGGATCAACAACAATTCCTCTAGGGTGGGACATGTCTCCCTCCAACAAAGTTTTTCTGCTCTGAGCAGCTTTTTCCAGCCTGGCTACAGCAATCGTTTTCCTGTGGCCATCATTTGTCCAATAAAGATTATTTCCAATCCAGTCCACTGCTATACCTTCAACATTATCAAGATCTGTTGAGAGAGAGAGAAGACAGTAATAAGAGATTAATAATATATGCTTATGTTCTAACATTATCCATTAATATAAACAATAGACAATATTTGATCCATGCAGCTAAATTACATTATTTCCTTGAATCTGAATCATATTTGCTGGAATACAATATTAAAATTTGCTGTGTCTGTCAGAATTAATCTTTGCTGAAAACACTCTACACAAGACAAAGACTGGTCATAAAACTTGTGTAAAGTATTAGCCTTCATATGTTAACCATAGCTGACCCTGGGCAAATCACTATTTAACAAAACTTAATTTTAACCTTAAATGGCAGTATCACCCAAGTCAAGAACAGCTTCCAGGATCAGCTCTAGTACTCTAAATTATCTTGCTTTTACCTAAATCACAAGTTCCATTCTTGTGATAGACATTCAGTTTACATTTGTTTCCATTTTGCAAAACATGTAAGGAAGAACATCACAAGAGTCTGAGTTATTCTCCACAGATAAGTACATAAGCAAGCTATTAACATATTAAGCAATACACGAGCAAAGAGCAATGCTCCCACTGGATGTACCGACGGGTTCATGAGTTTGACAGCAGTAGGGCTCCATCCAGAACCAAAATGAGTCAACAATGTTCATTCCATACAGCATGGAGGTTCCCCCTTTTCAGAAGTAGTGAAACAAGTCCTCAAGCAATGAGTTTTCCCACAAGCTTACCCAACACCCTGCAACATTAACTGAGCTCTGCCCTTTCCCACTTGATTCCAATACCTTAACCAGCAGCATAAGGTTTCTCAAAGGTTTTCCATCTCTCTTCATCATACCCTTCTCCTTTTCCTTCAGAAAGATCTCAAAGTCGAAGCATGTGGGGAGAATTTCCAGTCATTCTCTCCTGGCCTTTGTAGCATTGTGAAGGTTGAGGCACTGCCTAACTTTAGGCATCACCCTTTGCCACGCAGCTGATGTAACACTAACCCTCTTGTCATGCTCATTCTGGTGTGGTCACTCTTCATTTACAGGCTGATCCCTCCATTTGTCAGGCAATACCAGAGGGACATCAATACTGAGGGGAGTCATGGAGCTTGGACCACAGCATTGGTGACCACCACCTTTTCTGGTCCCTCTGTGTCACCTGTAAACATGCTCTAGCAGCCCAAGCATGTCACTTGCCTACCCCCTTTTCCCCAGTCCCTCCAAGTAGCATTCCTCTGGGCAGGAGGAGCTATGGCTTCCCAGGCAGCCCTGGCCCTGCAACACCTACAACCTCTCCCTGCCGCCATTTCCTCAGAGGTGGCTGGGATAGGCCCTGACCAGCCCAGGGCGGTTGGCAGCTGAAACATGGCACCCTGGGCTGAGGGCCGGGATACCGGCTGCTGCCTCCCACTGCCTCCCTCAAGCCGAGGAAGCTGCGTTTGCTTGCTTTAGTATCCTTTCTGAGGTAAAACTTGGGGTGGAAACACTTGTTTTACTGTTTACTTTGGTATCTTGTCACAGGGAACCAGTGCATATGCTTGGATTAAAAAAGATAATGGGGTAACAGCGTAATAGCTGTGACTCAGTGTTTCAACAGAGCCTGAGAACTCACAGCACCAAATTGCTGCCTCCCTTTGCCATGATAAAAATGAAGGTCAGTATGGCTGAAAACACAAAAAAAACCCCAAACAACAAAAAAACCCCTGCAAACAAAAACTCCTCACAGTAAAAACCTTCCATCCTTACTATGACACTTCTTGGCAATACGGATTGAATTACTTCTTTGTCATACTCAGATATACAATCCAACGGTACAATTTCAATGACAGGAATCATCAAGAATTGAGAAAAGGAATGTAAATTGCTTTTTCTGTTCACATTTATGCCAGTAATGCCATCTAGATGCAAGATTTCATCAGATTCATTCTTTCTCACCAGTGTTGATGTCATTTTCTGATCAAGGCTGGAGGTTTTTTTGAAAGATTTTCTCAGAATAAACATGATACAGACAGATTTTCATCACAATGTATGTAAAAATTGATGTATTACCATTTTTAAAGAAATGCTGATGTGACAAAATCACTGATCCTACTTAAGTCCCACTTATACCAGACACGTGTGTGAAAATCTGCTAAACTGAACACAAGTGTTTACCATTTGAACTGTGCTGCCAGACATAGTAATTTAACTGTCAGCTTTCCAGACAACAACTTCACATGAACTCCTGAAGTGCTGGTATGGGACATTTCAAGGTGTTATCAGAGTCATTTTTACTTGCAACAGCATTGTGCAGTGGCGCTGTGTTGCCATCGTCTAAACCTTCCCTCGGATTTCTCCACCAAGATGCCTCCCCATAATACAACCAGTAAGTACTAATGCAAAGGTCCTACTTGCTAACGTTCAGAACGTCAGCATACCTACGATTTTTTTTGCAACCTATCAGATTTGTTTTCCTCGGAACAAACGCTTCACCGATGATACTTTTTAAGCCCCAAACACCTTTACTGACTATAACTCTAATAATCTAATTCCCCACAAGAAACCAGTAAGATTCTTTGTCATGGATGGGAATGCTTTTACCAAGTCACACTCTACATAACTTACTTAGTGCAGTACAGAAAACTTTGTATTTGCAATAACCCATAGATAACATGGTATGTCATCAACAATACGCTAAGATAAATTAGGACAGTTTTAACCAATAAATGAAATATTGGGCTTTTATAAACTGGGATGCAATAACAGCATCTATAAAGGGCGCTGTTACAATCTCAATAGCATTGGAACATGATAAATTACTTCACAGTGTTTTTGTTGAACAATAGTATTTACTGATTGTAATACCACCATATTCCCTATCCAGTTAGGGCTATAATGTTTTCAAATACCTTGTCATTGCAAAATGTTTCATCTTTTGTTAATTTTATAACTATTTCCTTGTTTAAAAAAAAAGCAAAATGCATTTAAATATGTTGAAGTACATCCCTGGAGGTATTTAAAACGTGTAGATGTGGTGCTTAGGGATCTGGTTTAGTGGTGGAATTAGAACTAGACGATCTTTAAGGTCCCTTCCAAACCAAATCATTCTATGATTCTATCTTAAAGGTATTTTCCAACCAAAATGATTTTATGTTTATGATACAAACTTGCAATGTATACTAAATTTTAAAAATAGCAAGGATCCCCTTACTAACAGAGATACCTCAGTCAGTATATTTTCAATGTTTAAAAACAGAAAATTAAAAGAAGCTGGTGGCTACTCAAAGTCATAGCACAACAGCCATGTAATATTTTAAAAACTGCTTTTTGTCCTTATCAGTATCCTCTGACTGGGCACAACAGCCCAGAATTTGTTTTCTTCTCTTCCATTATAATTCCATTTCACAATTTCTCCATTCACATTGCTATACCCAGCTGCAGAAATCAATAGAATAACAGTGAACTTGCAAAACATCTGTCCTTGATACCTCCTCTCCCTATGTTTACAAAATTTTAGGATTTTTATTATTCTTGGACCTCTGCCCTACATATCAAATTAACTTGAAATAATTCTGAAGGTCCAAAAGATATTACAGAGAGACAATGGTACCCACCAAAATATCAACTAAATCTTGTCCACTAAATTCCTAAATTCAGTAAATCAGTCATGGGTGTAGAGATGACACTATATGCTGTGAGAAACAATATGAGAAAGCTATGGGAAAAAAATGTGTTTCCAAAATGTGTTTAACATTGTTATCATACTTCTGATACACCTAAATATCACTATACTTTTGGGGAACTACTTTTCTTTGTGATCTAAACAGCTTGAAGGGAGCAATGGTGTCAAAATTCACTGTCCACATAGAGGAAATGAAACAACAGTATGATGACACAGCCACCCCAGCAATCACCTAGGCTGACAAGAATCATCCAGTCAAAGGAGTAAACCACCAGATCAGAGCGGTCAAGATCAGTGCCAGCAGCTCACCCAGGTTTCCCAGGCTGATGGACACTGTCAATTTTATTTGCTGTCTCTCAGTGCCTTTGTTACATTCTTTTAAAAAAGGTGATGTCAGAGTGAGCTGGAACGCTCTGAAAGTGGCCTTTGGTCTTGGAGTGCTCAGGTATGTTGAGAAGAGAGAAGTGCAAAGTATGGTAGGGAAAAGAAGAGAGCATCTCACCAAGGACTTGGGAGCCCAAGGCTCACAGAGAAAGACTTCTTTCACTCCTTTCTCAGCAAAGTCCTTCAGGGCTCAGAGGGGTCTCAGCAGATTTTGCTCAACTCAAGGAAACACTGACATGACTACAATCAAGCTTGAGGACAAGGAGCGATTTGTTCAAAGCCCGTTTTATATTTTTATCCTGACTTAGATATTTCGAGTTAAACACTGTTTTTATAGTAATAAGATCAGCTTTTTGAAAATGTTGATTTTTGTTTTTTCTTTGTGACATAAACCAGACCAAATAAGGACTGTATTAGTATCAACAGCAAAAGGTTAATATTAGATTAGAATGTTAGATACCTCTTAAAATTTACAAGCATTATTGCTCCAAGTCTACTCAGTTTCATACAATAGCTACTGTATCTGAGCTACAATACCTTCTGTGGTAATTTTGGAGCATCTATATTTCTAGACCAAATACAATGTTAAAAAAATGCATAGTAATTAGATATTAAATATATCAGAAAATTTTAAAATAAAGGAGGATTCTACAGCATCTTCCTATAGAGACAGTTCGCATTCTTTTTGTGAAGTTACAGTTTAAAGTTCACTTTTATTTTACTATCTAAAAGCTTTAAATACATTCCTTACTTTTTAGGTAGTTTTCACATCAAGTAGTAAACAGGAACAAAATAATGGCCATTCTGGTTAAACAAAATTGATTTGACCACAGTAAGGCAGGTTTTCTACAGTGAAGCCCTTTCAACATAAAAAGGTTGAGGTGAATAAAATACCATTTTGATCATTGTTGACGTGATAATTGAAAAATTAAAATTTCTAATTCTGGAAGTACTACCAGAATTTTACAACCAACAGTGGGCTCCAAAAATACTGAATATAGAGACAAGATTTTTTAAAACTTCATATTTCTAGAGGGAACAATTTGCCACATTGATTTTAAATATGCAAGAAAGAAACACAGTAATTTGGTACAGAATGGCCTAGCTAATCAATGTCAGTTATATCATGTACGCTAGTAGTGCCTAAAATACTAGATTAACATGAAAGCCAGGAAAAAAAATAAAATTCTTCTACATAACAACCAGCTGAACAGCTTCCAAAGATCTCTCCAGACTTACTTTGACCTTGTTTAAACAAAAAGTTAGCTCTTGACCATCTTTGCTAAAATTTACCAGTGAATAAATAACATTTTAAATTTCACAGCAACCCCAAACAACATAAGGGGGACAAAGACAAGTAAAAAAAACCCCAAAACCAACAAAACCCAGAGTTTGGTTTTAAGTTCACCTTCAACTAAACTATATTTAAAACTCTTTAAAAATGTCTGGTTTGTTCCACTTTTTAATTTAAAAAAAACTCATTTCACATTCAATTTTGAAACCTTAATTATAGCAATTTCTGTTGCTGGTGAAAGCATGCTACTATTGCAGTTGTGCCGCCAACTCTAGGGTAGGCTGTACTGTGGGCTGTCAAATAGTTATCAACACCACACAGCGGTTTGTTTCCCTGAAGTGAAGAATAAGAAATCACAGCTGAAACTATATGGGAAATGAAAACTCCAGCAGTGTTAGGTGCTCAGCGTTCTCAATTCCCAGTCAACAGCTTGTAAGATCAGGCACTGATGTAGGCAAACTGTAATTATCTGAGTTAGTGTTGTTTGAGCTAGCATATCTGTTCTTGCAAAACCCGATAGTCACAAAAAATGACAACTTCTAATCTGAGAAGTGACACCTACCACAGATAGAGCTCCTTAGCAGCATGCTGTTCAGAGCAAATATTAAACCACCTCCTGACACACCTGATTTTCTCTAGTAGCCTTCCACCAAGGAACGATTTAATCTGTCCCTGCTGAGTTCTTGAGAGCTGACAAGAATAAAAACTGAGGTGGTATGGCTGGAGGCCATATTAATTTTTTAAATCATGAAAAATACATTAACAAGTGTTCTTTAAGCATACTTTAAACTTATGAAACTACACCAAGTTCTAACTAACAATGTAAGGTCCTGGGGAAAAGAATGACAGTGACATGTTTCTGGTCTTTGTAAGTATTAGGACCACCAATAATACATCATCAGATAATCTCTAACTCTTTTGGTATTGCATCAGTATTTTTGCTATCTTGCACTTATAAAGAGCAGCAATTCCAGGTAAACATTATTTAAAAGAGTCTCTGCAACTTGCTGTGGTATAAAAAGTTTATTCATGTTTGCATATTTGATTAGAGTAACCTCAACCTGTTTGATGCCTTTCAGTAAGGATGCTCCTTGGCGCTGCCTTATAATGTTTAAATCTACATACAGTCTACTCCTTCCTCTACTCCACATTTGGATTACTGTGCTGTAAAATGAAATGTGTGCTCTTTAGTAAAAGAAGGTCAGCAATGGAAATTCTGTGATGTATATTAGCCATTTCCATATTCACAGTGAAGAATTACCAGGTTTACAGCTGAATATTCATTATTTACTTCGGCGGCTGCCTTTTATTAAGCAGTGACCAATATAGGGTAAAAAGCCATCTGGTCCTTACAACCACTACTAACGGGATCTTAGTGCAGACTCGGAGGTCTGTGGAGAGACCTTATACCAAAACAGCACGGTATCACTGCAGACTGGAGATAACTTCTCTGAGATGGGTGGATTAAAACATGGATTATGAATGACAGGGAATGAAAATCCCTGTGCTAAAACAATGGTATTTTAGTTTCTTTCACTGACTTGAGCTTCAATTTACAAGTAAAGGTATTAAGCTCTCTGAAGTCCAAGATGAATATTCATACTGCTTATTTTCTTGAGTACTAGAAAATGAGGCAGTTGTTACCTCCTGCTGA